AGGGCGGGAGGGGAGCCGCCGCTTCCCCGCGAGGGGCCCGTCCGTGCTGGCTTGACGAGGGCTCCCCGAGCGGCTGCAGAACAAAAACCGTGTCTGGGGAATCGGGCGAACCCCCGAGACCCACCGTGATCCACTTTAATGCAGTGGAAGAATAATGATTACTTCGGGGGTTACTTAGGTTTTTTCTGGCTGTTGTGCTTTGGGAACCTTCACTGGGGCCATTTTATGTTTAAAAAAAGGACGAAGGTTGGTTGAAAAGCACTTATCTCAGTTCCTTCCGAATGGGTAAAATGGCGAAGGGGAAGACCCCCATCGTATCTTCGACTAGCAGAAGCACCAAAACAAACAAAAAAAGCCTGCAGTGGTCCAAGTGTCCCCGCTTTCGCCTTGAAATTTACCTACTTCTTCCCGTTGGTCCCTTTTTGGTTACTTGAGATCACGTAGGTTTGCAAAAAGCAGTCACATAAATAACCTTTTCAGTCACCAACGCAATGTGATCACTAGTCCACCCAACTCTTATTTTTATGATGACAATAAAACACGTTTTTGCCCTGTCCCAAATGCCGCAGACCAGCCCGCGGCCGCCCGACACCGTACCGTTGGCGACTCGGGTCGATCCATCATGGCTGCGGCCGCTTACCCTGCTTTTCAGTCCCTGAGCCTTGTGGTCCTCCTCCCTTTGGCTGCCCTGTTTATATAGAGCCATTGCCGCTCTCTAATATAGACTCTGCCAGGATGGGAAGGTGCTTTTCAGTCCTACGTCACCGCCTCTCCATTTAAACACCAGATCCGGCTTTAAATAGTGAGAGCTGCTGAGAGCGGGGCTGGGAGGTGCGTGCTCCCGAGGCGAGAGCCAGGCGCGTGCAGAGCTCAATTTATTTCTAGGTCCTTTTTTCACGCTGTAATTTCTCATCCGTCGGGGGCTGCTTTCAGAGCCCCAAGTTTTGGTTTTGTTCCTAGCAGCAGCCAGGATTTGCCTTCTTTGTTTGCTAGGGGAAATATATCCGAATCGCTGTCCCTTTTTATTTTGTTTACAGTTTTCAAAATTTATAATTTAAAACAAAGAGTTTTAGATAAGATGGTTTAGCCGTTTTTCTTGTGTGCATTATTTTCGGGAATTTAAAAAACGGTTTTCTACATTGAAAGTGTTAGCTGCAGAGGACTCGGTTTTGGTAGTGTTTTGTTTAAGTATTCAAGAAATATGTTAGAAATATAGCTGCCAATATTACATTATGTTTTCCTATAGTAAATATAAAAGACACGAGGCTTTTCAGAGAAATAGATAAGTACCTAAAGCTTCATTATAGGACCATTTATGTGTAGGAGAATCATGAGTAATTAGAGGGAAGAGACATGCTGCAAACTGGATTAAAAAAAATTCTAAGTAGAACTTTATTGCCTTGGATATTAACATGGGTATCCGGTGTAAAAATTATTCCAATTTATCTTCCAGCATTGCATCAGGGAATTAACATTTTTGAAGGAAACCTTCTAACAAATCACTTAATGCCACTAGTGGCCCTCTTATTTACCAGTTCTTAAGTTTGAAATGACCTGTTTTTTAAAAATCAGGATAAACCTAAATTGTATTTCGTGAAAGATAGAAACTTTGCCTGAAATATAGCGTAGAATTTTAAGTAATAATTTAGAAATTTCTTGTTTCGAATACTAACTATGTGCCCACATACTTTTCAAAAATTATCTTGAGGGCTTTTCAAATTGTGAACAATTCTGCTAAATTACTTATTAGGCATGTATTTTGTGAAGAGTACACATTTCCCTTCCTTCAACTATAGAGCTTATGAAGCTGTTAAGTGGTCAAGTTGTGAGTTCATTAAGACACAAAAATAAAATCTTAAAGAATGATTCATTAAGTAGAGAGTACTAGAAGAAAGCAGATTTATACCTATACGTGTCTGGATCTCCAAGCAAGAGGTTTTTAGAGGTAACTGACTTTAGAAACACCAAAACACCGTCTAGTTTACTGAAAAGCATACATATTGTCAATTTGAGATTGATATTCCCAATTTAAAATATATTGCCCTCCTAATGTCTTGAGGAGTCATTGTTGGTTAAAACACACATACACACTTTACAGAGATACTTTTGTAATTCAGTTAAGTCACTTTAGGCAAGATGATGTCCATAGTCAGATATACTTTCCTTATATATAGAATTAGAATGTTAAAGTAGGGACTATAGAAATGTGCATTTTACAGATAAACAAACTTCAAGAGGAGGATTTGGCAAAATAAAGCAAGTTAGTGAGTGAAACAGTAAAGCAAGAACCCGGATATTTGAATTGGTTTTCTTGTAATGAGAAGGACTAAATAGTTTTTAATGGTTGAGGTAAATTGTACTGACAAACTCATTTGTATTTTGTTTGTTTTCTGAGACAGGGTCTGGGCCTGTCACCCAGGCTGGAGGGCAGTGCTACAATCTTGGCTCACTGCATCCTTTCCCTTCTGGGCTCAAGCCATCCTCCCACCTCAGCCTCCCAAGTAGCTGGGACTACGGGCAGGTGCCACTATTCCTGGCTAATTTTTTGTATAGACTGAGTTTCACTATGTAACCCAGACTGGTCTTGAACTCCTGAGCTCAAGCGATCCTCCCAAAATGCTGGGATTAGAGGTCATTGCATCTGGCCTCATTATTTGTAGTTTTCACAAGACAAGGACACATTTTCTTAGCAGTTCCCCTGTGTCACAGTGTTGCTGATAAGAGATGGTAGTGAAACACATATTTCTGTTTGAAGTTTGCTCATGAGAACAAACGTTTTTTTTGGTAGCCATTTAACCTTAAGCAAGGTATGAAACACAAGTAATGAGAAGACATCTAAAAAGCTTGTTAACCATAACTCTCTGATAATGGGTAGGATTTATAACCTGGCAACTCTAGTTTTGTCAAGGCAGCTCTAGTTTTGTCATCTGACATGACTTCCTTTTGTCTTACAGGTTAAAAATAGCATGTGGATTGGGCTAATTGTTCTATCTCCCACCTTGTAGTTTTAAAAAAATTTTTATTTTTTGAAAGTTCTTTCACATCTATTCTCATTTTGCCCATTTTACCATTCAACCTTCTAGAAGCCAGCTCCTTTACTTCCCGCTCCTCCTTCAAGTAATACCAACAGTGCTAATTATAATAATAATAATAAACGTTTAGAGGGTTTATGTTCATTATAATGTTTCATAGCATTATCTGGGCAGTAGTAGAGGAGAAATTCTGGGAAGGAAATCAGTGTACCTTGTTTCTTTGGGACCTTGAGACCTGTCATTGCGGGTGTGTGAGTAGTTTAATGGTGTAGCTTGAAAGTACAGACTGGGTCACACAACAGAAGTTAGGTGATTTTTAAACCTGAATGTTCATTAGGTTGCAGATTATTACCAGGCAGATGACTCCCGGACGTAAGATCTCCAAAGTCTTAAGATTTAGTGGTGAGGTAGTAAAACATACAACAGAGTTCAAACCAAGCGTGGAATAGTAGAAGCCAGACGTAAGCAACCCCTGAAGCTGTTATTGAACATTACATTAGGTATTTTGACTATAACATAGGAAATTATAATTGAAAATTGTATGGACCTTGTAGGCATAGGGACCTTCTGTTTATGAATTGCATTAATCTTAAAATTTTTATTAAAGTATGCAGTCATCAAATCCAGTTGATGGCAAATGATGGTGGTCGTATCTTTAAATTCATATGTAGTTAGTTGGCAAAATGACTGTTATATTGGTTTTGAATTATATATTGTAACCTGTGAAAAACTGTCTTTATCAAGTCTTTTATTTTTCCTTTAAAGCCTAAATTATACAGATCTGTGATTGAAGATGTCATTAATGACGTGAGAGACATCTTTCTGGACGATGGAGTGGATGAACAAGTACTGATGGAACTAAAAACCGTAAGTTTGTCTTTTTAAAAATATTCGTACCTTTTCACCCCAAATCATTTTCTTTAGTCAGAGATGAATCTGTACGTTTTCTGTAGGGTGAACGTATAGTTTAGTGAAGTGTGCTGGTTTTAAATCCCAACTGTACCATGCATTCTTCCTCTGACCTTAGGCAGGCTACATTTATATTTCAGTTTCTTTACATGTAAGATGGAAATTGGTAGTATTTACCTTATAGGTTTGTTTTGAGGATTAAACGGAATAACCATATAAAATCTTAGCACAATGCCTGATAGTAGCATTAGCAGTTATTATTGGATAGTTAACATTCTACATTTTAGGGTCTAATTACTTGACATGCCTGGAAGAGTTTTCTTGCTTTCTTTTTTCTGTTTTTTTTTTTTTGAGACAGGGTTGGGCTCTGTCGCCCAGCTGGAGTGCAGTGGCACAATCTGGACTTACTGCAACCTCCACCTCCCAGGCTCAAACCATCCTCCCACCTCTGGGACTACAGGCACATGCCAGCATGCCTGGCTAATTTTTGTATTTTTGGTAGGGATGGTTTTCACCATGTTGTCAAGGCTGCTTTCGAACTCCTGGCTGCAAGTGATCCTCCCGCCTCGGCCTCCCAAAGTGCTAGAATTAGGGACGTGAGACACAGTGCCCAGCTTTAATCTCGCCTTTTTTTAATGGTCTTAATGTACCTGTATTCTAAGTGTGTTTTAAGTTGTAGGGAGTAAGTGCTTGATAAAAGAATTTTAGGTTCTTGAAGTAGACCCTTTATGTAGGCCAAATGTTTTAAATATATTTTACATTAAGAGCTGGTTTTCTGTATCTTGGATTTAAGCAGAAATATTTAGTTTTTTTATTGGCAGTTGTGTTTTCCTTGCAGTGTAATGACTCATGAAATTGTGGACTATTTTTGCCCTGTTGGTTAGAATAGTGGTTCTCAAGGTATATAGTTCATGGAGTCCTGGGTTCTCCCCAGTGGTTCTTTCCAGGGGTCCACAAGGTTGACTAAATGCTCAAGTCTGGAAAATCATAGTTTGCCTTCATTCTTTCAAGTAAAAGTTGTATTCTGTGAGAAAAGTGGCCAGTTAAATTCATAACTCAAGCGCACAGATGCTTTTCCATGAGATAACTGTAAATAAGCAGCAGAAATGCTGTATGCATACTTCTCATTTCTGAATATTAAAAAGATGTGGACTCAGTGTTGATACTAAGAAATTTGATTGTTTGATATTCTGTAATGAAGTGTGTTTACATTCGAAAGATCCATATAATTCATTGAACTTGTATTTTCTGAATGTCCAATGCATAATGTTGGAAAATTCATTCAAAATGCAAGATAAATTAATGAACTTTAACAGTATGAAAAGTTCATAGTTATATGGTTTCATATTCTGCATTGTAACTAACTTGTAAGAAACTATCACTTAAAAGTACCTTTTCTTTTCCTAACTACTTAACTGTAGGAAGGCAGATTTTCTTTGTATACCTCAACCAAAACAAAGCGAAAACACAGGCAGATATGAGAATCTAGCTATTTTCCTTTAAGTCGTTTGTCATTCTCACTCAATGTTATTTACTAAAATATGACTATTTTCAGAAAACTGTTATTTATGTTAACATATAATGGATCCATTATTTCTAAACAAATTAGTAAGCATTAAACATTTGTTATAATTTGTTACTATAAATATAGGGGAGTGTAATTCACATACAGAGAAGCTCCTTGAGGGTCTCAGTAATTTTTTAAAGTGATAAAGCATCCTGAGGTGAAAGAGTTTTAGAACTGCTGGTTTAGAAGTTGAGTATTAAGCTCCTTTAAGTCTATGTACAAATAAATAATCACAGTTAATAAATGTTAAGGAACATTTGTTGTGGTGTCATTTATCCAACATAGGTTTGGAGGCTGCAGCTTGGCAACCAGTTTATTTTACGTAAAGCAATCTCACCTTGATTGTGGTGATGAAGTCGGTCTTGATGTATTTATTAATAGATATCTGCAGGAAACTTCTCTAGAATTTTCAATAAGAATATTCTTGTGTGAAGAGTTTCAGACTAGCCTGGCCAACATGGTGAAACCCTATCTCTGCTAAAAATACAAAAATTAGCTGGGCATGGTGGTACGTGCCTGTAATCCCAGCTACTGGGGAGGCTGAGGCAGGAGTATGGCTTGAACCCAGGAGGCGGAGGTTGCAGTGAGCCGAGATCGTGCCACTACACTCCAGCCTGGGTGACAGAGCAAGACACTGTCTTGGAAAAAAAACAAAAACAAGAGTATACCTGTGTGAGGTAAGAAAAATATATAGGTGTGAAACAGATGAGCAAATATGTATTTACCTTGAGAAAAATGTAAGGGTTACTAATAGTGAAGAGTAGGTATCTAAAAATACAAGTGTAAGAGTGCTAATTCTGAGACATGAGTTGGAAGAAGAACAATATAAATTGTTCAAGTAGCATGAAGTAACTGAGGGATGTGAATAATTAGAAAACAAGCTTATTTTGATTCCTTAGTGTAACGTGGAATGAGATTTTTGCAATTTATGTTATACTTTTATAATGGTTGTCCTTGTGGTTTCGTGACCTTGTATAGAAAATGCAGCATTTTTAGGTGTAGAAAATCAGTTCTAAAGATGTTAGGTAATTTTCTCTAGGTCAAATTCTAGTGGTCAGTCTGGGTTGTTATCTACTCTTGCTTTTCATAATGAAAATCTGGAGAATTTATTTTTCCTATCTTTAACAGTAGAATCGAGACGTTCTCTTGAAGAGAATGCGCTATCTTTGAGACCAAATGTTTCCACCTCCATTTTTATTATATATGACTTTTTTGGTACATATTTTATAGGTAACACACTGATTTTTAGTTTAATACTTAGGTTTTAATGGCAAAAAATGTGACCTACTCAACTTTGAATCCCCAGCTTCTACCGCAATGTCTGGGCATATGTGGTTGGCATTCAGTAAGTATTTGATTGAACTGTTTGATAACAGATATGGCACCTGAATCTAACTGAACAAAATAGTGTAATATTCTTGTTGTTTTTAAATGGGCCATACTCTTCTATCTGGGTTGTATTGAAGTTAAAAATAAAACTGTTAGACTAAAATGAGTTTATTTTAATTCTCTGCACTGAATTTCTTCAGGATCTCATTAGAATTTCTAGAATATGCCCTAGATTTAACAGCTGGACAGCCAGCATTGTCCAATAGAACTTTCTGCAGTGATGAAAGTGTTCTATATCTGTGCTCTTCAGTAGGGTAGCCACTATCCACATGTGCTTATTAAGCGCTCAAAATGTGGTTGGTGGAACTAAGCAACTGAATTTTTATTAATCTAAACCTAAATCACTACATGTGACTGATTGCTGCCATATTGGACTGCTCAGGTTTAGACATTCTTGCTTAATAAAACGAACTTTAATTTCGTATTTTATGGTTTAGAAACACTGGCATTATTAGCTCTAGCCCCTCTCCCCACTTTTTGGGGCCATTTTACAAACTTATCAAAAGCTTGTATAAGGCTATAAAGGAGGCAGTGGTGAATTAGATTGAGGACAAAGATGAATGATGAGAATGCATGTAATTTGAGGGTTAATGAGGTAATGCAGAAAGGGAGATGATAAGAATATTTCAACCCAGTCGTCGAGGTTATCTCTTGAACCACTGCGGGCCTACGTTAATGTGTAAACTATGAGAGGTAGAAAAAACAATAAAATACAGCCCTGGTTTTCAGTAAATCTATATTTGAATATAAATGTGTTTTGGATTGATGAGTGTCTATGGGTGGGAGTGACACTGTAGAAATTCTCTTCAAAGTGAATGATAAAATCAGCCGGATTTCTAGATTTTCCGACCTGCCTATGTCCAGACATCAAGTTCTGTGAGAGATATAAAACATTTTTTCTCTTTTTAATAAAACAAAATGAGAAGAGTTGCCTCAATTGGAAGTATATCTGAAATTCAGTTTATCTGCCTCTGGTTCAGATTTCTCAACACTGGCATTATTGACATTTTGCACCAGTTAATTCTTCGTTGCAGGGGCTGTCCTATTAATTGTAGGATGTTAGCAGCACAACTGGCCTCTGCCCACTAGATGCCAGTAGCACCCTTCAGTTGTATCCAGAAATGTCTCTAGACATTGCCAGATGTCGCTGGGGGGCAAAATCACCTCTGGCTGAGAACCACTATTCTAAATATACTCTAGCTGTATACATAAAAAGTACTTGATATACTCTAATTATATATAAATATTTGGACCATAAGTTGAATGATAATCTACTATTTCGTTTCATTTACTCTTAGGGAAAGCTCTGTTTCTCCAGCACTGTTTCTTGGGAACCCAGAAGTGTAATATATTTTATCCAGGAGCTAGATGTTTTGTGAAAGTAGGGGAATCCTTCAGAATTTCTAGCCCACCATGTTGCCAGGTTTAGCCACCTAACCTCTGGGCTTGTGATGTGAGGGGCTGCAATGCAGGTCTCTGATATGGCCTGGAGACATTTTCTCTATGGTCTTGGGGATTAACAGTAGGGAAGCAGTAAGGGGATTAACTTGGGGAGCAGTAAGTCCACTTATCTATAAAATCTCATGATTTTATATTCCAAGTAGACTTGGAATGTGCTTTGACAAAGTCATTTAGCTAATAAATGATAAAGCCACAAACCTAGCCCTTTTGCATCCATGTGACATATACAGTACTTAGCAGTAGGAAGGAAGGTAAGAGAGTTTTGACTAGATCTTGGGTTGTTGGTGGGTGGCACCTGAGATGGTTTTGAGGGTTGGCGACCTGCTCTGATAGCAGCAGTCCAGTTTAGAGACTAGGAGTTTGAACTAGTACTGGGATTAAAGGGAGGCAAGTGAGGGTCCTGGGGTGCAGAATACAAAGAGACATTCATTCTCTAGCCCTGACTGGGACATTGGAGTCAGACCACCTGGTTTATATCCCTATTCTGTCTGCCATTAGTTAGCGTGATCTTGGATAAGCTACCTAACTTCTTTCTCATCAGATTCTTTTTCTGTAAAAAGTCATAATAATATCTATCTTACAGAATTTTTGTGAAAAAACTAGTCTGTACATGTGTTTATAAAGTACACAGAATTTAGTAAGTTTTAGTTACCAGTCTGGTTAACACGATATACAAATGTACACGTGAATCATTTTGGGTACAGAAGATGAATTTTCTCCATCTAATTTCAGATACTTTGCAAAGATTAGTATTCCTGATTGTTTTCAATACTGTATTAGAAGCTGTGTGCGGTGGCTCATGCCTGTAATTCCAGCACTTTGGGAGGCCGAGGTGGGCGAATCACTTGGGGTCAGGAGTTTGAGACTAGCCTGGCCAACATGGTGAAACCCCGTCTCTACTAAAAATACAAAAACTAGCCGGGCGTGGTGGCACGTGCTTGTAATCCCAGCCACTGGGGAGACTGAGGCTGGAGAATTGCTTGAACCCAGGAGGCAGAGGTTGCAGTGAGCCGAGATCGCGCCATTGCACTCTAGCCTGGACAACAAAGTGACACTCCACATCAGAAAAAAAAAAAAAAAAGAATGAAATATGTTAGTATGATTACTATTGCCAAAATAGTGTTTCATTGTTTATTTATTTTATTTTCATTATGTTGGTTGGGCTGGTCTTCAACTCCTGGCCTCGTGATCTTTCACCTCAGCCTCCCAAAGTGCTGGGTTTACAGGCATGAGCCTCCACGCCCAGCCTCATTGTTCATTTTAAATAGTTGATATCTAATATTTTGATAAATAAAGATTGTGTGAAAATGGAATTGTAGAGAAACTATAGATGTTAAATTAATTTGAACTTTATGGTAATTGGCATTATAAGCTTAATACAAAGTACTTGTATGATGCTCTTTTTGCATGTCTTACATTACCTAGAACCAGTATTATAGTACTTGGTACATAATGATTTTCAGTAGATTACCCGCCTCTCCCAAAGCTGTTGGAAATGTGTGGGGCCATGTTCAACATTTCATGAGGATTTTTGGCATTTACTAGACAGCAGCCAGGAATGTTGCAATTCCTGCATATTTCTTGTGGGACCATTCTGTATGATAAAGAATTGTCCTGCCTAAGATGTCAGTAGCATCCTTATATAGGAACAGTATTCTAGAAGACAAATAGTTTTGTTTTCCCTCTTTGAAGTTAGATCCTGAATAAGACAGTTGCTGCCTAGAAGATATTCATACTTTGATAGAAGTCCTAGACTTTGTGTGGTAAGTACAAAATAGAAATATCTCTTATGCGTGGAGGCAGGGAGTGATGGCTTTTCTTTGAGGCTGTTGAGACTTTGGCATTTGTCTTGTATAGGGAATTGTGGGAGAAAACTGCTGATCATAAGCAATAGTTCCTTAAGGTTACATATGATATATTCAGGGACCTCCAAGTAATGTGGTACTGTGAGAAAATAGAGTTCAAGTTGTAGTAGCAATTGGTATATGGTAACATGCTATACTAAGGAGCTTGGTCTTTAGAGTGAGGATTATCTGGGGTACTAGTTAAAATGCAGATTTTTGGATTTTCCAGAGAGTCTGGCTTGATAGGGGTAGTAAAATGAGACCTAGGAATCTTTTGCAAATAAGTATTCCAGGTTGTTAGATGGTGTATTAGTTAGTTTTCACGCTGTTAATAAGGACATATACACACTGCTGATAAAGACATACCAGAAACTGGGAACAAAAAAAGGTTTAATTGAACTTACAGTTCCACATGGCTGGGGAGGCCTCAGAATCATAATGGGAAGTGAAAGGCTCTTTTTACTTGGCAGCAACAAGAGAAAATGAGGAAGAAGCAAAAGCGGAAACCCCTGATAAACCCATCAGATCTCGTGAGACTTACTCACTATCACAAGAATAGTATGGGAAAGACCGGGCCCTTTGATTCAGTTACCTCCCCGCTGGATCCCTCCCACAATATGTGGGAATTCTGGGAGATAAAATTCAAGTTGAGATTTTGGTGGGGACATAGCCAAACCATATTCTGTCCCTGGCCCTCCAAATCTAATGTCCTCATATTTCAGAACCAATCATACCTTCCCAGCAGTCCCTCAAAGTCTTAACTCATTTCAGCATTAACACAAATGTCCACAGTTTGGAGTCTCATCTGAGACAAGACAAGTCCCTTCTGCCTATGAGCCTGTAAAATCAAAAGCAAGCTAGTTACTTCCTAGATACAATGGGGGTACAGTTATTGGGTAAATAAAGCTGTTCCAAACGGGAGAAAGAAATTGGCCAAAACAAAGGGGTTACAGGGCCCATGCAAGTCCGGAAATCCAGCGGGGCAGTCTTACGTTAAAACTCCAAAATGATCTCCCTTGACTCCAGGTCTCACATCCAGGTCATGCTGATGCAAGAGGTGGGTTCCCATGGTCTTGGGCAGCTCCACCCTTGTGGCTTTGCAGGGTGGTCTTGCTTCCAGTTGCTTTCACGGGCTGACATTGAGTGCGACTTTTCCAGGAGCATGGTGCAAGCTGTTGGTGGGTCTGCCATTCTGGGATCTAGAGGACTGTGGCCCTCTTCTCACAGCTCCACTAAGCAGTGCCCTAGTAGGGACTCTGTGTAGGGCCTCCGACCCCGCATTTCTCTTCTGCACTGCCCTAGCAGAGGTTCTCTGTGAGGGCTCTGCCTCTGCAGCAGCAGACTTTTGCTTGGCCATCCAGGCATTTCCATACATCTTCTGAAATCTAGGTGGAAGTTCCCAAACCTCAATTCTTGACTTCTGTGCACCCGCAGGCTCAACACCACATGGATGCTGCCCACGCTCTGAAGCCACAGCCTGAGCTTTATGTTGGCCCCTTTCAGCTGGAGTGGCTGGGATACAGGGCACCAAGTCCCTAGGCTGCACACAGCATGGGGACCCTGGGCCTGGCCAGCGAAACCACTTTTTCCTTCTAGGTCTCTGGGCTCATCATGGGAGGGGCTGCAGTGAAGGTCTCTGATGTGGCCTAGAGACATTTTCCCCATGGTCTGGGAGATTAACATTAGGCTCCTTGCTACTTATGCAAATTTCTCCAGCCAGCTTGAATTTCTCCTCAAAAAGTGGCTTTTTCTTTTCCACTGCATTGTCAGGCTGCAGATTTTCTGAACTTCTATGCTGTGTTTCTGTTTTAAAATGGAATGCTTTTAACAGCACCGAAGTCACCTTTTGAATGCTTTTCTGCTTGGAAATTTCTTCTGTCACATAACCTAAATCATCTCTCAAGTTCAAAGTTCCGCAAATCTCTAGGGCGGGGGCAGAATGCTGCCACTCTCTTTGCTAAAACAGAACAAGGGTCACCTTTGCTCCAGTTGCTAACAAATTCCTCATCTCCATCTGAGATCACCTCAGCCTGGACCGTGTTCATATCACTATCAGCATTTCCGTCAAAGCCATTCAGCAAGTCTCTAGGAAGTTCCAGACTTCCCCACATTTTCCTGTCTTCTGAGCTGCCCAAACTATTCCAACCTCTGCCTGTTACACAGTTCTAAAGTCGCTTCCATATTTTCAGATATCTTTTCAGCAATGCCCCACTCTGCTAGTACCAGTTTACTATATTAGTTTGTTTTCATGCTGCTAATAAAGACATACCCAAAACTGGGAACAGAGAAAGGTTTAATTGGACTTACAGTTCCACATGGCTGGGGAGGCCTCAGAATCATGGCAGTAGGTAAAAGGCTCTTCTTATATGTTGGCAGCAAAAGAAAATGAGGAACAAGGAAGAGCAAAAACACCTGATAAACCCATCAGGTCTCCTGAGAATAGCATGGGAAAGACCAGCCCCCATGGTTCAGTTACCCGTCCCTCCCAAATCACATGGGAATTCTGGGAGATACAATTCAAGTTGATATTTTGGTGGGAACACAGGCAAACCATATCAGGTAGGTAGGTAGGTAGGTAGGTAAATAAATTACTTTGCTCTGTGGTTCCAGTTTTTAAACAGAGGATATATTTATAAATTAAAAAAATTCACCTTGATAACAGTGTAGAACAGTGTTTCTCAAACTTCTTGACTAGGACTCTCCTTAAGAATTAATAGTATTTAACATTTTGAATAAATATATGCACAAGTATATGAGTGACAAATCTGCAAAAGTTTTTTCTCAGTGAAGTACAGTCTGATTTTTCCTTTCAATTCTATTTTGTTTACAAAAAACATCCTTAGGGGAGAGAGGGAGGGAGAAGGAGAAAGGAAAGGGAGAGAGGGACGGAGAAGGGGAGGGAAGGGGAGAGAAAGAGGAAAGGGAGAGAAGGAGAGAGGGCTACAAAGAAAATTCTAAATTGACTTTGAATCACTAGTGGGTTGCAGTCCTCAGTTTGAAAAACATCGGTTTAGATTTTAAAACAGTTCTCACTTTAGCATCCATCAGAATAACCTGAATGAACAGTTTGTTAAATTCGATTTCTGGTTTACCCCCAGAGCTGCTGATTCAGTATTTTTAACAAGTATCCAGGTGATGCTGATGTTGGGTCTAGAAACGCATTTTGAGGATCACTGATTTATAGAGGATAGATTGGAAGGGCAAGCGTACACTGGAATGTCTGCTCTGTAAGGTCAAGCATTTTTCTCAGGTTTGTTCACAGTATCTTCTCAATGCCTGTAACAGTGTTCGGCATATAGGACATAATTATTTGTGGACTGTATGACTTGATGCAGGAAACTCAAGCGCTCAGTCACTACATTACTACTGTTTGCAGTACTGCTGGGCAGAAGGGACCAGGGCCGCGTCATAGAGATACATTGGAACAGTGAATCAGAATAGACGGTAATGGTGGACTGTTGGGGTGGATTGTGACTGCTAGGTCATTTACACGGGAGTCTAGGTGAGTCATGGTGCCCAGTACTTAGCCACACATAATGTATATTCATTAATATTTGCCATTATCATAGGAGCTTCATTGAAGTGATGGGTCCAGATTGCTGTGGGTAAACCAATTGTAGGTGATAAAAGTGAAGCATAAAATTTAGAAAATTACAATTTAAAATACTTTTTAAACAAAACATTAATAAGACTTTTTTTCACCTTGATTTTTGGCTCACAAGAAACAGGCTTTGTTTTGTTTTGGAAGAGAGGAGAAGATGTAGAAGGTTTGGGTGATAACAGACTGTTTGGAAGCCTTACTATATATAATACATTAGTCATAATGTGTTTTATTTAGCATATGAGTATCTATTTTGATGGTGCGCTATGCTAGATGCCCACTTTACAGAGATGAATCAGACACAACATGGGCTCTCAAAAAGTAGTGCTTGTTACTACGGGAAGAAGCTAGCTGTCTTTCGCCTAGG